TTTTTTCCTCTTTCTTCTGTCGTTAATTCTTATTACCACTTTGGAAGAAGAAATTTAAAAAAAAAAGAAAAAAATTTAAAAAAAAAGAAAAAAGAAAAAAAAAAGAACGAAAAAGAAAAAAGGCAGCTTTGATTTTCCAAATGTGCAATTCACATGTGAACAAAGTAATTCTGAAAGTAATTCTCAGTGTATTTTACATTCTCGTTGCTCTCTTCAAAGCAAGAGATGTTTTGCCCTGATGTCATTTGCAGCCTGCAGAAGATGTAATTTAAAACATATATATATTGTGCTTGCAAGAATCATAAATCTGTGCATCCTATGTCATTCCTTTTCCCATTGTTACAATACAGATATGATTTAGGTTGGATTTTTTTTTCCTTTAGACCTGTATAGTGTTTTTTTTAAATCAATTGTAAATGTCTGGTTTTCATATAATGTTTAAAAAACATTGAGAAAGAGGATGGTGCTTGTTCCATATCATTCTTGATTGTATATTGCTTCTGTTATGTTTATAAGTAAACTGTGCATGACTTGTGTTTAGCAGTCATTATTGTGTCCGTTTGTGAAATTTTTATTAAAAAGAAAAAAATTCCGTAGATGCACTTATTGTATATGTGATTAGATTTTGCGTCCGAGGCTCGAAGCCTCGAACTGCCAAGGAAGAAAGAAAAAGTGTTGGCAGTTATTAATTAATATGGAATCGCTTTGTTGGGAGCATAATGAAATAAAAGATATGAAGTGTAGAAAATAATTAAAAAAAAAAAGGCAATTTTACAAATTTCATTTTGATGCTTGTGATAAAAGACAAATGTACTTGTGTAGAGAAATTCCTTTAAAATAATGAATAGAAAAAGCTGATTTTGAGGTTAATGCTGTAGAATAGGAATGTATACCAAATGTAATCTTTCCAATGCTACAATGAATTTATACATGAGATTGATATGCAATAAACCTGTGTGCTTTTATAAGCAGTGGTCCCGAGAGCTTCTTTTCATGGAATAACCGTGGAGAACATCCCCAAGAGTGGGACATTGGGTGTGTCACTGTCTGGCTTTGCTGCTCTGCAGTATCTGTGGGGTCTGATGTCACATGTGTGTGGCTTGTAATATTCAAAAGATCTTCCAAAAATTAAATTATGGCCACCCCACTTGCTGCTGAGGTCAGAATCATGGAATCACAGAATGATTAAAGTTGGAAAAGCTCTCCAAGAGCATCCAGTCCAGCCTGTGCCCAATCCCCACCTTGTCACCCAGGACAGAGCCCTGAGTGCCACATCCAGGCCTTCCTTGGACACCTCCAGGGGTCGGGATTCCAAACCTCCCTGGGCAGCCCCTACCAATGCCTTTTCCATAAAAAAATTCTCCCTCATATCCAACCTGAGCTTCCCCTGGCACAACCTGAGGCTGTTTCCTCTCACCCTGTCCCTTGTTGTCCTCCTGTCAGGGAGTTGTGCAGAGCCACAAGGTCCCCCCTGAGCCTCCTTTTCTGCAGGCTGAGCCCCCCCAGCTCCCTCAGCTGCTCCTCACAGGACTTCTCCAGCCCCTTCCCTAGCCCTGTGCCCTTCTCTGGAATTGTTTCAGCCCCTCAATATCTCTCTTGTGAGGGACCCAGAGCTGGACAGAACACTCGAGGTCTCCCCAGTCCAAGGCAGGTGCATCACATTCCACTGAAGGGATGGGATGATTGCACAGAGAGGAGTGAGAGTATTCCAGGATGGGAGAAAATGCTGGGATGGGGCATTGGTGAAATGATGGAAAATGTTAAGCCTATTTCCTTTCACAACCAGAGCTCAGAGTGAGTGAACTGCCCAGTGATAGCGGTCAGATGGTTCAGCTCCAGGGGACCCTGGGAGCAGAAATTACTTGAAAGCCGGGTCTTTGAGCTAAAAACCCCATTACACAACTGATGAATGGCCTCGCTTCAAAAAGTCATTCATGGTGATCAAATGATAGTGTCCCACATTCGGGATAATAGCCCTTCCCTGAGATCGGGAGAGTTTCAGTGAGAGCTGAACCCTTGAGTAGGAGCCCTCCTCTCGCTGGAGCCTTTCTCCTTATTAGCCCCGGAGGGAAAGGATAAAAAAATCTATGGGATACGAAAGCTGTGATAATGGGGCGATTGTCAGGCAGGCCCCGGAGTGCAGAGAACAGAGGCATTTAAAAGAATATTGCTGACAAGTGGACTTTGTCATGCACAAAGTGCTTGAGATTCACCACAAACAAGTGAGAAAAAGGCCCCATTGGGGGGATGGGGAGCACCAGAACAGGGGGGCAAAAGAGAAGGTCAAGGAAAAGTCTGTTCCCAGTAAAGACACAGAGCACTGTTGAGCCTTACTGGGCAGCTGTCAGCAGCCTGACCCTCAGATCCTCTTTCCCAGTAGTTGCAGCGTCCAAAAGCAGCCGAAACTGATGTTTTGTGCATCCGGAGGGATCGCCCGAGGTTACCTTTGACCACTGAAGACCCAACTAAAGCGAGCATCAGACACGTCTGCAGTAAGGGACAGTCCCTGCGCTGCTGAAATACCGAGTGTGTGTCGGCCAGACCCCGAGCACAGCCGGGGCACACTCGTTTGTCACCCGTTTACGTGACAGGAGAACGACACCGAATAATTCCCCCGCCTTCAGTGACCAGAGGCGGCTTGAGGAGATGGGGAACGCCGAGATTCCAGGGGCCGGCAGCGACACTCCGCGCAAACACCTGATTAACACCCATCAGGAAGTGGCAAAACACTATTCCTAGAGGCGCTTAATTAATTTTTCACTCTTGGCAAGCCGGGGTGACCCCGGCAGCAGAGCGCTGCTGGGAGCCGGGACGTGCGGGACACCGGTTCCGGGCTAGGAGCGGCACCTGCAGCCCGGCTCGGCCTCGGGGGCCGGACCGGCACCTCCCCCGGTCCCGCCCCGCTCCCTCCCAGCCCTTCTGGGTCCCTCCCATCCCGTCCCCGCCGCGCTGGCTCCGAGGGGCGCGGGTAGGTGCGGGCTCGGCGGGGTCGGGGTGGGGGCTCGGCGGAGGGACCGGGGACCCCGGGGAGGGACCGGCACCGGTACCGGCACCGGCACCGGGGCTCCCGGGCAGCCATGCGGGCGGTGGCTCTGGGGGAGCGGCTGCCGAGCGCCTTCCGGGGAGGGGACGGCGGGCACCGGCTGTCCCGTCCCTCCCGAGGGGCTCGTCCCCCCGCGGCTCTGTCCCCGCTGTCCCCGAGGGTCTCAGCGCACAGCGATGCCCGGGAGGGGTTGGATCCATCGCAGAGGGGTTTGGGTGCTTCCCAGGGCTGTATCCCGCCGTGCTCCCAGCCCGTTTAGAGCCCTACCCCCTGCACCGCAGGGATGGAAGTACCGAGTTACGGTGCCCGTGTGCCACCGCGGGCAGTGACACGGGGGGATCGATGCCCTGTGTGGCCACCGAGCCTCCCTCCAGCCCAGCACCGAGAGCTGTGGATGCTGCGGCCCCCAGACCCTGTTTATTGCTACCAGGGATTAGGATAAGCTTCATCCTCAGCCAGGATAGGGTTAAGAACAGAATGTGGCGCTTTGCTCGTCCGTGGGACACTTGGCAGACACAGAGCATGTGTCCCGCATCCGAGCTCAGTGGAATGAGCAGCATCTCTGTCAAATGAGCTGTTGTTGATGGGTCTGTGCTGTCCTCCTGCCAGTCATTCATGCAGGGGAAAGCACGGTCAGCCTTGGTTTGTTTCCTGGTCTTTGAAAGGGAACAGCTTGGAGATGGCACTGGCACACAATGGGATCTCAGTGGAGGACAACTAAACTTCTCCTGGAGTTGTGTAATAGGCAGAGGCCATAAAACGCTCTGTCTGTTCTATAGGGGCAGAGTTCCGTGGGTGCCCAGCTCTGTGGGTGGCACAGGAGGGGGATGAGTGACCTTAACCCTGGTTGAGGAGCCCCAGGGACTGGGGCAGGTGTTTTTGTGGGCGGCATGGAGCCGCCCTTCAGCGCGGTTTTGGGGCAGGTTCGAGCTTGGAGGAGCACAGGGTTCATGGCCAGACACCGCCGGGGATTCCACAGCCCGGGGGAGGTGGATTCAGGAGGGTGCAGAGCGGCTGTGGTGGCTGGCAGCACCCCAGAGGGGAATGAGGGGACACGGAGGTGTGGCAGCAGCCGGGATCGGAGAGGCTCCAGGCCTGCCTGGCTCAGGTCTGAACCTGCCCGGTGTCTGCAGCACAGCCTGGCTTCTCCAGTGCCTGTGGCACGGCCTGGCTTCTCCAGTGCCTGTGGCACGGCCTGCCTGCTCCAGTGCCTGTGGCACGGCCTGGCTGCTCCAGTGCCTGTGGCACGGCCTGGCTGTTCCTGGTGCCCATGGCACGGCCTGGCTGCTCCAGTGCCTGTGGCATGGCCTGGCTGCTCCTGGTGCCTATGGCACAGCCTGGCTGCTCC